TACTTTCAGGAAGGAGGGATAGTATCCTGTGTTGCAAATTATGATATAGTGACATTACTCATTTCTTTCTTACAAGTCTTAACATTGATTGATAATATGATATTTAAAAGATTTAGTAGTGTTGTAATCACCATACTGGAAAAGGTACATGTAAGATCACGAAGCTTTTATTGTAAAATGAGGAATGAAGACAACTAAATGGCATTCTTACACAATTTACGGCTGGTTAACTCTGAAAAATGGATGTCGTTATTATCAAACCATACAAAAATCAGCTTTTAAACTATGTCACTGACTGACGATGACGTGTGGGGTAATATTTGCCACGTGACCCTCCTCCCTTCTCGGAAAGGTTAGCGCCTGGAGGTTCTGACAGAACAAAAGGGTAAAGATAATTGTTTGTAACGCAATTTTACACAGTGACTAGAGAAATCACACAGAACAAAGAAGTAATTATAGGGCTCGAGGTATGGCTTTCTGCATGACCAGGCGTTTGACAAAAGCTGTGAATGCCCCTCGGCCTACAGAGACATTCAGAGCTTTCCTTCATAGATTAATGATACTGCTAGTATACAAATTTATGAATCACAAAAAAGAGTCACAGTTTATACCCCACACTGTACGATTCGTAGCAAAAATCCTACAGTGGTTTCAGGGTTAAGTTATACTTTGTTTTTCTTCTAACCCTGTCCGTAATTGTAACGCAAGATTTATGTTTGTAACGCAATTTTACACAGTGACAAGAGGAATCCCACAGAACAAAGATATAATTGAATGGCTCGGGGTATGGCTTTCTGCATGACCAGGTGCACGACTAATCTGTAGTTGTTCCCAAGGAATACTGAAGCATTCAGAACTGTCACGAGCTTGTCTGCAGCATTTCTTTTTGCATTCAAGAAAATGAAATAAGAACAGAATACGTCGATGAAGGCTAGACATCCAGGTAATACGATACGCCAAAAAGTATTTACTCAAGCAACTGGATATGATTTTGATGACGTTTTTAAAATCATATCCAGTTGCTTGAGTAACTACTTTTTGGCGTAAAAGAATAGAATGTCTGAAACCATCCAACCTAGCAACATATTATCAAACCAAAATACCACACATGTACATATGTAATCAATATGATTTTATAATTAGATAGGCATGTGATGTTGTATGAAAACGTATGAATGAATGTAAAGTAATGAAAATATAAGAATTGTATTGAAAAAAATAATGTAATCTAAGTACAAAATATGGCAGATCGTTGCAAAAGTAGTCATGAACAACCGCAAAGGTCGCCATATTTTTTTACAAATTCACATAACAGCTTCGTATTCCTTTTGTTAAGCAGCTTTCTTTGTTGTCTGTTTTTTTTTATTCGCCCGCGCTCATTAGTTTTTTTAAGTCTTCAGTAGGGATGTCATCTATAAAATTAAGTCAGTGTGACCTAAATATATAATATGGACTTTGCAACTAGATACTCTTTTATATACTTCAACTTTAAAGTTGGAGGCAGCAAAGTCTGTGCTTACTAATGCAATTGAAAGCGTTGCTTTTTTTCTGAGGTTAGTTTTTCAGTGAATGCCTTCAATAAAATTAAGCCAATGTGGCCTAAACTGTGTGAAAAGGATGGCACTTTGTAACCATATGACACACTTACACGTGCAATAGGTCCGGAAAAAAGGTCAATCCTATTAGGCCACAACAAGTAAATTTTATGGATGACGTTCTTTTGAGACCCTATATCTAATGCGAGAGGGCGAGAAAAAAAAAAAAAGAAGGGCCCTAAAAACAAGATGCCTAGATTAGAAATATACTAAGAGACGACAAATGTTAGGACACAAATTGAATGAGGTGACACAGATTTAAAAGCGAGAAGTCGTTTACTCATCATCAAAACAGCAATAAATCAGGTGGAACAGCAGTTATCGCCCTGTCCTGTTTCTTTCATCACATTTTTGCAGGCCTGCAGAAACAAAGCATGTGCTCTTTACCCATTTCGCGTTGCCGGTTTCACGTCAATCTAACAATTTGCGGCACTGCCCTGACTCTTTGGTCATAGTTACAGAAAGCGGAATTTCTTGTTTTTTTTACAATTTTCGCATGCGCGAAAATGGTAACTCAGACGACTCAAACGTTGGATCGATGCATGGATGGTTCGACGGTTCGACGGTTCCACCCTTCAACGGCCATGCAGACATGCTAAGTCACCGCATGTCGCTAGATGTCGTTGTTGCGACGGCCATGCAGACATGCTGAGTTGCCGCATGTCGCTAGATGTCGTTGTTGCGAGTGCACTTTTTACCATTCATGCCTTGGACGTTTGTATACTTTCCATTATGGTTGCTAATTTCAAAATCATAGTTCTATTAATGTTGCATAACAAAGCTGCTGACAAAACAAACTTAATTTGTCTTGAACAATAACTTGATTTTATTATTTGCCAAAAATGTTGATAAAGACATGTCTATAATCACAGTAATCAAGGATTTTAATAAACTGCATAAATTATGTCAATGAGCATTAGCAGTGTGGATTAGTCTAGATGTTTAGATTTCCATTAGCCGGCAGTCCAGAGGGTCACACGCCCGACCAATCAAGGCGCTGCAGGCAAAGCTTATTTAAAGCCTCCTTTTCAGGCGTTCCCGGATCGGTGTTTTTGTGTGTGTGTGTGTTGGGGGGGGGGGTGTATTTTCTGACCAAACGTAGATCGCACGCAATAGAAGCTCCGGCCTACATAGCTGTCCGTGGAACTATTGATATTACCTGGGTGCCTAACTTTCACCAACATGTCTTTTGTATTATAGGAAATTAATTAATTAATGAGTGAGTGTTTCATTAACTTAAATAGGTATTGCATTGTTTGGCAAGGTATTTTCCATTGACAATTTTTAATGGATCAGGTTGATCAGATGATATAATGTAAACAATTAAGTATGATTAGTAAAAGATGACTTTTGAAGTTCTGTTCGAGTATTATTTTAGGGTTGAATCAGGGTCAACGCGAAAAAAAATCATGATCCGGTGATCGACATCATGCCCCCCCCGCACACTTCATGTATTCAGTGTTCTAAATACCCGTCTTCGGTCTGCAATTTGCAGATAGATTTTCAAGATTGCAGGATAAAAATTACACAATCTGCAATTTGAAGAATGAAAAAAAAAAACTATGGACCTCACCACTTTATATTCCCTTTGTTTGACCCGCCCGGCGCCCAAATCCCGCTGCGATTCAAGCCGCGGCGGCTTCTCGAGCCATGCAAATAAACCTAGTCCTGACGCCACAGCCTCCGATTTCCACCGAGCCAGCCCCGCGCGCATGCCGACAGCGAGGGATGTGGCTCAGATTTCCGACGATTTCCTTATTTAGATCATTCGGAAGACTTCGGGTAGCAAACAAAATGGCCGCCATGCACATGATTTTATACTAGTAGCTTCGCTTCTCAACCGAAATGAGGAAGTTTAACCTCATTTGCAGACTTTAGCGGCCATGGAGTTGATTTGGGGAAGTGCTGAGACGCGATTTCGCTACGGCATATGGGATTTTGCCGCGGAGGGAGTTACGTACGCCGGCAAAAACTTGCTTCAGCGATCGGCTCCAGAAAATTTATCTTTGTGCTGCCGCTCAAGTCTTCGAAGGTGGTTTAACGAAGTTTATATAAATGATAAAGCCACTTTGCGTAGATCGATCTCCGTTTTCTTGCGATGGTATGAAAATTCAAGTACAGTATATTTTCAAAACGTTTGATATTTCTTTGTTCGTTGTCACATGTTGTTTATTTATCTTATTGTCATGTACAGTTACCAGCGTGAGTCTGAGTCGAGCCATTGTTCTTATGTGGCCGTTAGCACATGTTGTTTAAACAGACAGCAACATTGAAGAAAAGAACCGAGTTAACAGACGTCGGCACGTTCCTTGAAGTCAGGTTTCCCCGCCGTATTTAAATACGAAATGTGTGGGCCCCGCGGCGTTTTTGAAAAAGACGCGACGCGCTTTGGAAAAGACCCCGCGCCGTGGCTCAATTCCAATTCGCTACATTTTTTGCTAAGTTTAATGTCTTCACCCACGATTTTTGACCGTCAATGTTGACGGTAAGGACTTAAATTTTTACCGTCCGACGGGAAAAAATACCGTCAATTGACGGTAAAACGGCGCTGGCTAAAGCCCTGGTTGAATGTCACGAGGTTTGTAAACTTAGATGTTGGGGACAAAGCCATAGAAGAGATTTTGAATAAAATTATATATATATATATATTAACGTTACTTATAATTTAAGTTAAAATGTACTTTTGTGTCTCATTTTTTTATTCTGTTAAAAAGACTCTTAAAAGAGAGAAACCAGGTTATAAACTGTTATGTACTTGATTTTTGTAATGTTTTAAACTTAAAGAGTTGAAATATAGAAGTGCATGTTCTCTCATTATATACAATGTTGATGAGAACTAGAACCATTTATATAACTTAGGTAAATTGAAATGCTAGGATGGGGAAAATGCTAGAATGCATTGCACTACGGTACGTTCCACCACCATATACTCCTCAACCATCCACCAGTTCGTAAAAACTGTAAGCCTGTAAGCGGCGAAAATGGTCAGCTTTTGCAGAAGCACTTGTTTTCCTAGGAACAGGCCAAAATCCATGCGCGCGCGGACGTCCATAAAATTTACTTGGTGTGGCCTTACACAATCTAAAGATGTTATCTATCCTAAAATGCCTAATACCCTCACACAATTCAATGTTTGCACTGTTTATAAAGGTTGGAAAAAACCGGCTTCGGGATAAAGCAAAGTTTTCAAAAACTTTCCCCGTGTCCCTGGGTACAAATCTTTGTTATTGTCGTACTTGGCCCTTTAATACTATAGAGTATAGACATTTTATATCAGATAGTATATGTTAGAATGTATATCCCAATGAGCAATATGAATAATAAGAAGATGGGTTTTGCCCCCCCCCCCAGTTCCCTAAGCTTCAGCTAACAGCAACACTCAAAATAAAAACACAGAAGCATAAATTTAAACCAGTCACCAGTTTTATTGTTCTTCATACTCAAACAACCACAGTTACAATACTTTTAAAGATGTATATAATGTACACCGTACATGTCTGGAAATGGTTAGAAATGTAAATGACTATCAGCACAAAACTTTTCCTGCTAACATTATCTTGAAATAAGGTTCCATGTATCAGCGGTTCAAAGATTCTGTGATATTCAAGGTATATAAAAGAAATAATGATTATAAAAATGATTATAATAATGATATCAAACCCAAATCACCATTCTACGTTGTTCAAAATTGCCGTAGCGATTAATAAACCTATAAGATGTAAATATCAGCAGCAAAACGATCTAAATATTTTAATGTTAAAACACCCTAAGCAAGTTAACAAAGCTTTTTCAACGCAGGCAGGTACATTCCTTTGTATTTATGAATCAAACAACTTAATCACCCATGTTTTTTTTAACTAATAAAACAATTAAAAGTATTCTGCTTCAGACGCCTGGTCCTTAGTTTTCTGAAGTTCTGTAAAAAAAAAGAGAAGTTAAAAAAAAAGACGCTAGAAACACTGAGATCAACCCAAGACGGAAAATAAAACAATCAAGGGGCTGGGGTAAAAATCATTCTAAAACAAATACGTCTGACCTTTTGAACATCAAATAACGTCAGGCCTTAGTTAAAGGTGGGAATGAACCAACTCAGACGTACCATTTGCCGTGACTTGTATCAGGCGAAGAACGCCCCCTCCTGCAGTTCTTTTAAAACAATTATAGAAGACAGGAGATGTTAGAAAAAAAGAGATCAACAACACATATATAAAACGACAGCAATTAATAATAACGAGGCTGAAATTCAGTTTAACACAAGAAAACGAACAGAAACATAACGTTAAAGAAACCGGAGATGCAGCCCTAGAAGGAGTAATATCCTAGAAGGTAGAACTCGCATTGACTGAAAGTAGCTATTGAGAAGGACTGATACCATGATACTAGCAGTGTAGATGTACCTTAGTGTGTTGTTTTTAGATTACCTATCATCCTTAACCAGTGTTTATAATCTTAGTTATATATGTTTTTATGTGCTTGTATCCCACGTGTATTGTACTGCTGCAAAAATCAAATCCAAAATCGTCATTTCCAAGTTATATTTAGAGGTTTAGTGGGGTGCCACAGCTTCTCTCCTCTGCCAATCTTCCCATACTTGTAATTACAATTAATTTCAGGTACCTCCTTTTTTTTAATTTGTCTTTGTTTTTACAATCTTTAACGCAATCTTCAAATGTTTCCCCTCGTTTTACCATCCCCATCTCGGCCACAACAAGGGAAAATTGGGGTCAAAACAAAACGGACATTAATGGGTAATTTATGTATTAATAACAAGTGTCAAAATACAGTCTAAGACGTAAACGTACAGAAATATGTGGGAGCGCAATTTCAATAAATCAAATAGGTCCAAGATCGTCACTTCAAAGGTATAACTGGAGGTTTAGTGAGGCAACACAGCTTAAACGTACCTTCTTTCTCAGTCTCCAGCTGCTCTCATTTTCCCAACTTTCCATGTTCGTAATCACACGATAGTTTGCATTCGTCTTTAAACTGCTGCTCTCCCTTGCCTTCACAATTTTGTTTGCATTGTTCATACGTATACACTCGCTTCTCCATCCTCACCTCTACTAGTACAGGGGAAGAAAAGTCAGAAGTCAGTCTACAACGTTAACGCACATGTACAACAGTGTTTCCGAGCGAGTTACGTTACATATAGATGGTCATTCAGCCATAACTACACAGCTCATAGAGCTGAATGCACAGAATGCACTGTCCAGGCCAAAAACCTTGAAGCATTCAAGGCTGCCCTCCACACTTCTACCGTTTATTAACTCAAATCAAAGCTACGGGTACTCGTCGCCATCCAGCAGTGTGGCGGTCAGGGAGTGGCGCCCCTGCCCATTGAGTAGCCAAAGCCAGTCACCAACCAGCCAAAACGACCTGCACTGTATTTGACCCTCAACAGTACACCTTCGCGGATTGATTAATCTGTACACCTGGGGTCCGCGCGGACCCCAGGGCAGTTTTTTGCTAATTTTTAGAAATTATCAACATGCTACCAGCTCAATTGTTTTGCAAACTGATGTGGGAACCTCTGTGTCCACATTACATACAAAAATCATACACTTTGAACTGTTTCTATTTTTTGGTGAAGGAAACAAGACAAGAAGAAATACCCGGTTTTTAAACCCATTTCAGACTGAAGGGGCTTTTGAGGCCCAACTTTGATCTCAGATAGCGGCTAAACGGCTTGCGCTAGAAGCATCAAATTTGGAGACCTTTCCTAAAATGTCTCTGGTAAAAAGTTCATATTAGTTTAATACTAGTAAGTTGATGTTTTTCTGTGTTGCCATGGCAACGGGTTTCTAGCAGGCAGTTTTTTTTAAAATAAAAGTAATTTTGGCTTAAACATAAAAATTTTCTGAGTTTTATATTAAATTACACTTTTTCCAACATTAATAACATCTTACATAATTAAATATAAGTTAAATCATTTAATATGCATAGAATATGCTAATTTGATGACGTCATTGGTCAAAATCCAATATGGCGGACTATATTATTAGCTCTGACGTCATATGACGTCATAATTACACCAAAGTTATTAAAATTTAATTCTATTACTACACCATTCTCTGAAAACTTGGTAGACATACGATAGTGCATAAAAACATATAAAAACGGAAATAAGGTTATGTATAAGAACGCCAGTGTATCCATTATGATCGAAAGCCGGCTGGGGTCCGCGCGGACCCCAAAAGAAAATCAGATATAATTTTTTTATAAATGGTAGAAACGGAGTT